TTTAATACTCATATACACGTACACGACACACATATTAAATTTTTTAGCTATTCAGCGTTTTAACAATAAAAAAATTAATACAAAAACAACTACCGGCTTATCTGTTTCTTGTTTAGATAGTGTTTTTTGCTCACATACATATGTATGTATGTAATATACATACAGTGTCTCACATAAGTATTCGAATTTAGGTGTACTTTTAAAGGAAACATAATTTAATAATATTTATTGTGTGTAAAATTAATAATTAAATTTGATATATTGTCTAGAGAGTCTTAAGGTTTAATATCACACTCCTTAAAATTTGGATCATTTACATTTACTTAAATAAATTTAACTTTTTTTAAAAAAGTCCATAAAATTACTTCACAAAAGTATACGAATTTTTCCTGTATTTCATATTTGACCATATTTTACGAAACACAAACATTAGAATCGAATGGTCTTTTTGCTTAAAATTGTTTCAAGAGGTTACTATCAATCGAAAGGATATATTTTTGCCCCATTTGGCCCACAATTTTGGGGCATTTGTACCATCTTTTCATATAATATCATTAAAATGACGATTTTTGACCATATTTGCCATTTTTTTTTTCTCCTTTTCCAGATATAAACCCAAAATTTAATATTGGGATTTAATAGATTCCTTGAGGTAGGTATCTAAAAATAATAATTTTTGTTATAAGGACCTGTATTTAAACATTCCAAGATATATTTTTGGTATCGTTTTTCTGTTTCTAATTGAATTATCTGGATCTTAAGAGCCTTTTCGTATCACTAGGATCGATATTTTCCGACAAAGTTGGCTAGTATATATTATTGTAGATATTAGCACTAATATATTTTAAATTTTCAAAGCATCGTAGTGGTATACAACTCCAAAACATGCCTTAACAAAACGTCATCCTATACAGTAGATTTCAGTTTTTACTACTCATAACATTCACGATTATGTTGCCCATTACAACAACGCTGTATGTCCAAAATTTTTGGTTTATTTTGATCATAGTAGATAATATTTAAACAGATATCAATATTTTTGAGTTAGACCATAATGATATGGCGACATTCAGCCTAGAGGCCATTGGTTATAAAAAGAATGATTCCACTATATTGTATGGCGTTTCTTCGAGGCATGCTTTGGAATTGTACACTTCCACAATATATTGAAGACTTTAAATGTATAACAGCCTAGAGGCCATTGGTTATAAAAAGAATGATTCCACTATATTGTATGGCGTTTCTTCGAGGCATGCTTTGGAATTGTACACTTCCACAATATATTGAAGACTTTAAATGTATAACAGCTGATATCTAAAACAATATATAGAAGACAAGTTTCCCCGAAAATTTTTGACCCTGGTATTATAAAAATGGACTTGAGTTCCAATAAATTGAATTAGCGATAGAAGAATGATTCCAATAATATATATTGGAACGTTTAAATACAGATTCTTGTAACAAAAAATATTGTTTTTAGATACCCCAAGGGGTATATTAAATCCCAATAACAAATTTTGGTTTTATCTCTGGGAAAAAGGAGAAAAAATACAAATATTGTCAAAAATCGCCATTTTAATGATATTACATGAAAAGATGGCACAAATGCCCCAAAATTGTGGACCAAATGGGCCAAAAATATATCCATTCGGTTGATAGTTACCCCTTAAAACAATTTTTAGCAAAAAAACATTCGATTCTAATTTTTGTGTTTCGTATAATATAGTCAAATATGAAATACAGGAAAAATTCGTATACTTTTGTGAGGTAATTTTATGGACTTTTTTTAAATAAAGCTAAATTAATTTAAGTAAATGTGAATTTTTAAAGTTTTAAAAAGTGTGATATCAAAGCTAAGGACTGTCTAGACAATTTAACAAATTAAGTTATGAATTTTGCATTCAAAATATATTATTAAATTTGGTTTCTTTTCATATTATACCTAAATTCGAATACTTATGAGAGACACTGTACATATATTGATTATTAATAATAAGGCATTATTATATGGGATCTTTAAAGTGGATTTCCTTCGAAGGAGTGTTTTATTTGGTTCAGAAGTAACTAAAACTGACTGAAGTAGGTTTGAAGCTTTTGAGCTTTGGGAATAGATTCGAGTTTTCTTATCCGATGATCTGAAATAAGATTAAACAAGTACATATAGTTGTAGGGCCAGCCTAATGTATATTTCTACATAATGTTTGTATGTATATGCAGAATGATTTGGCAAAAATGGACACATGTACCATAAATATGTAAGTGTGTACGATCGTTAAACATGCGTACATATGTACGCGCGTAAAAATGTTTTTATTTACTTTTGTAATGACAAAAGTTAGAATTTCTTTAATAATCTGTATTCTTTGAAGTTAATATTTTCTGGGGCTACATACATACATACATATTTATATGTTAATTTATAAATCTAAATAAACATTTTTGGGACAAAAAAATTGCAATACACCTTTTAAGTTTATAAAAACCTTTATGAATGAATTAATAAAAAATATCTATGCGATTAAATAAAAATTGATATTTTTTGTTCTTTAACTTTTCGATTAGTTTGTTTGATAGTTTAAGCGAACAATAAAGGTAGTTTAATTTTGGGAAAAAATTAAAAGTGGGAACAACTAATGGTAGCTCGTTTTAGCCAATCTAAGATAACACAAATTATTTTATATAAACTCAAATGTACCTAAATACATATTCAATAAAATGACTAAGTACGGCTATTATCAAATTTTAATCATAAGTACTTTTTAATGATTAGAAATTGCCGTATATTATACATTTGACTCAAAAATCGAACCATTTGATATCAATTTCGATCCAATAGTTTTTTATTTTCTTACAAAACTGAGTACTAAACAAATAAAGTTTTATTTAGGAAAATTAATTAAATTGATCTTTAAAAAAAGCAAAAATATTTTTTATTAAATGCTTATACTCGTATATTTCTATAAAACAATTTCTTACAATACTATAAACATATGTATAAAAAACATAAAATTTAATTTGTTTCAGCCTTTTGTTATAAATAAAAGGTTTTGTGCTTTTAGCTTTAACTTAACTTTAAAAACTAGCCTTTTCTGACTTTCTCTCTCTAACAGCAGTTTCGCCCTTTGGGGTGGCACTTATATCATCGATTTCATCGGTAACATTAGATTTCTCATCATCAAGAAAACTAAGTTCATCATCGTCTTGTAAACTTGTATAACTTTTTGAGGGCATAAGAACTCGGCTGGCCGAGCGTGTTAATGTGCTGGTAAAACTGTTGTATTTCTTCTGAAGATTACGTAGCCAGGTGGCATCAGACCAGTGATACCAACTCAGTAAAAATACAACTAATAAGAAAAATAGATTTGTGCTAACGGCTAAAAGAAAAAAATATACACAAGTTATTTACTGTTATTGTGAATATTATATAATTAAAAACTTACCAACTATGGCCGATATAACAGGATAGTTGTACATGACATAACGTAGTCCAGTAAATTCCGCCACAATGTGCAAAGACACGGTATAATATTGGATTTTCTGTGATTGTATCTCAACATAAACATCAGTTATGGGATGATGTTTTTGTTCCAAGTAACGACTGAATATTTCAACTGGAACCTGTTGGAACTCTTCCTTAACACCTAATACGAACAGAGGACTAAGGGCCCAAGTGGATATGGTGCGTATCAAGGGAGAACGATAACGCATCATGGCCGAGCGACAAGAATGACCTCTTAACATCGATTCGTGGTCACGCATTTCACCACAAACCATAAACATGCCAAGATCCAGATTTTGGGGTGACTCTGGCATATCAATTTGTACAATAACGCGGTAAGCTTGACCCACCATTAAAAGCTGTTGTTTCTTAGTTAATGAAACATGAGCATGGGGGAACGTACAAGGAGCACTAGTATCGAGGCAAGTTCTACAAATATATTGTATTTTAGTTAAACAAATAACACTGAGAAATTACACTTTCAGCAGATACTCACTTGAATTGCATGTGTACGGGACGTGTATGAGAAATGGCCGGCATATAGAAATAGTAAAATGCCGCATACATAAAGACAGCCGCCCAAATTATTAATACAGCAGCAAAGGCCACAAGACCCAAACGCAAGATTAATTCTCGCAAAGTATCAACTTTTTCATCTGTTTTTGCCTTCAAACGATCGTATACATTTACACTCAAATTATAGGCTGGCCGTATAAAAAAACGGCGCCCAAGACCCAAAGGATCCAGACAAAATACTATAAAACGGAAAAGAATATTCATGTTGCACTCAGGTCGCAAACACCAGTAATCGAACGAGGTAGAAACAATACTGCAGTTGCGCTACGCATTTGCAATTCGATTAAGTCTGTTCAGAAGTTCTTATCATCACTTTTACTAGTTTCTAGTTCTTATCGATAATTGCACGTTGTTCTTGTAGTTGAAGGTGCAAACGGAATTCCTCGTCTCTGTGTATATAGACCACAAAATTGGCTAGGAACTAATTTTTGTTTAGTGACCCTTGAACATTAGATCATCGGCTTTGCATTATGTATTTGTACAACAAAACATATGAAAACATTAGTAACTAACAAAAACTTACCATTAGATAAAGCTTTTCAAATCGAATGGCAATTTGTTTATCAACAAACTTTTGATAAGATTTGAAAATGAGAGTTGCCACTCGCAATTTATTTTTCCCACCAAAAATTTAAATGTTTAAACTTAGAGATGAGACTCCATTGAACTTTTTATTGAAAGTTGAGTTTAGAAAGCTTTTATTTACTCATTACAATAACAAAATGCAATTATTATACTCTCACCAATTAGTTTTTTGACAAGATCACCGTCAACAAATAAATTTTGTCAGCAAGTCGCTTGTCGCAAGCAGTCGTAATTGCAATTAGTTTGTAATAGTTTTTATAATTATTTCTTATTGGCAACGCTACATTTGTTGACAACACACATTTAAAGATGCCAGACTTTAAACAATTTTTCTTTTTGTAAATTTGACAGTACCAAGGAAAACAAAAAGAAAATAAAAAATATATCAAACTGGAGAAAATTTTGTCAAATTTATTATAAAAAAATAGAAATTTAATTAAAAATTTGCTTTCAAAAGCAAAACAAACTAGTATATTTGCAAATAAAGTGTCTATGAATTGTTTATAAACAGCAAAATATCAAATAATGGCCGCTTTAAAGTGAAAAACTGAATTTTATAATTTGTGAAAAAAAGGAAGGCGTAACAAAGCAAATATCTAGTCACCAGGAGAGTTAGTCAGAAAGATAATTCTCAAGAAAAGCATACAAAAATCCAATAAGAATTTTTCCCTAATTTAAGTTTAATTACTAAAATCTACTTACCATCACTTTAAGCAGAATCTTACCCATGAGCAACTATAGACATCACGGAGGTGGTGGTGGGTATTGTGGTATAGAAGTACGCGACATGCATCCAAGAATTTCTAATAATTTCACTTACGTTAGCTCATGTGTCAAATACATGATCTTTATGTTAAATTTTATATTTTGGCTTTTTGGTGGCCTCTTATTGGCCATTGGCCTGTACGCTTTTATGGATAAGTGGGAGTCCACCGGTTGGGTACGCTTGGAGAGTTTTTATGATGTTATCCTAAATATTTCCTTGGTCATGATGATTGCTGGTGTTGTGATATTTGTAGTCAGTTTTGCTGGATGTTTAGGTGCTTTACGTGAGAATACTTGTTTACTTAAATTCTATTCTATGTGTTTGTTGCTCTTCTTCCTAATGGAGATGGCTATTGCTATAATGGGCTTTGTATTTCCACAAAATATGAATACCTTTTTGGAGGATACGTTCACTGATAAAATTATACACTCGTATCGTGACGATCCGGATTTGCAAAATTTTATTGATTTCGCTCAGCAGGAATTTAAATGCTGTGGTCTAAGCAATGTTGGTTATCAAGATTGGAGTAAGTAAAATTGTAAATAATATTAAGAGAAAAGTTATGACTACATGATTTTTTTATAGATAATAATAATAACCTACCATATAGGCCATAATCGGCTATAAATTATATATTTTTAATTGTTTCAATATATTTTTTATTTTAGGCAAAAATGAATACTTCAACTGTTCTTCACCATCGGTTGAGAAATGTGGTGTTCCCTACAGCTGTTGCATCAATGCTACCGACATTAGTTCTGGTCTTGTCAACATAATGTGCGGCTATGGCGTACAAGAACACTCGGTTGCTGCCGCTAGTAAACGTATCTGGACAAGTGGTTGTATTGAAATTGTTCGTGTTTGGGCTGAACGAAATCTGTATGTTATTGCTGGTGTGGCATTAGGTATAGCTTTGATACAATTATTTGTTATTTACTTGGCCAAAACATTGGAGGGACAAATAGATTTGCAAAAATCACGTTGGTCTGCGTGAAATCAATAGTAGATGTTGAAGTGATGTGATGATGTTAACCGTAATATTTCTATGCATATTTTTTCTCTCTACAAATATTTACGATTCGATAGATTACAGTATGCATTTTATACTGCCTTGCTCAATAATAGTTCACGTAAAAAGAGTGCTAAATATGAGAGTGCTCATCAGTTAATAGGTTAAATTTTAGTTTCTTTTTTTCTTAATTTTTTCCTAAAAGACAACTGAAATTATCTTTAGGAATATTTTATTTTTCAATAAGTTTACATACTTTAGTTTTATCCTTTTATTATTATAAACATACTAACAAAACTACAACTATTTAAGATCCAAGGTCTATACAATTCTTCAAGATCTTCCCTCATTTTTTACACAATTTAAATTAAAAAAGAATACTTTAAAGGAAATATAAATTTTCTCACATTACTAGTGGAAAACATTAACAAAAACGTGCAAACAAAATTTTATTACAAATTGCCAAAGAAAAGTGCATTTTTTCTCTAATTCTACAATAAAAACTACACAAATTCTTATTTTTATTATTCTATTGAGAAAAAATTATATATTTTGTTTGTTTTATAAGCGCAATAGTAAAATAAGTAATAATAACGTTTTTTCAAACCAAAACAAAAAACAAATAATTTTTTTACGCGCTGTAATAAATACAAAATATTTTTTTATGGAATAATTAAAATCTCAATCTAAAACATTGCCATTTTTTATAATTGTAAAACTCTGCGTATTTTATTGCCTCAGTTTATTTTGATAACTCTTAAAGTTCTTATTAGAGCCCTGCATGAGTGACTTAAATAATAAATTAAAACATTTGATTTTTTTTCAAACACTGTGTTTGACTCACTCATTGTTTTATGAATGAAATGAATAGTATATTTGAAAATAAGGAATGTTAGTCAATACTCAATTCAAACGAAACAAGTAATGAGAGTGTTTGTGTGATTCAATTCAAGTAGTATACAGTGAGTGAATCGAGTGAAAGCAAAACAATTTTTAAGTTCGACAAATTAACAGATTTTTTGAACTTAATTTCGAATAGTCGAAGATAATATAGTAGCGTCATCAACTGTACTTAACACTGCCAAATTTCAGCCAATTTGGTCCACGGAAACTGGTTTTATCAGCTTTAAATTTTTTTCGAACATGAGTTCGAATTTTCGAAAATTTTTTTTTTAGTTTTTTGGACTCAAAGAATAATTTAAAAGCATAAAAAATTTTTCGAACATAACTTCGAATTTTCGAACTTAATTTCGAATATTCGAACATAATATTATCTTGTCATCAATTGTACTCAAGACTACCAAATTTCAGCGAATTCGGGCCACAGGAACTAGTTTTAACAGCATTCAAAATTTTCACCATTTATTCAAGAAAAAGTTTGAATCGATTCATTCGATTCAAACAATCTATTTTGTATTGTTTTAACATAAACAAATTGTTTACTCGCTCGATTTGAATGTAGTTGCACATTCACTTGATAGTACTCACAACGTTTGAGTATAACAAAACTTTGTAAATACTATTCTAAACAAACAATGAGTTGAGTGCAAAGCAATGAGTCACTCATTGTGTGTAGCAAATAGAGTTACTCATGCAGGGCTCTAGTTCTTATACTCACTAGAAACTTTTGTTTGACAAAAGTATTGGCCAATTTTCTGTTATAAACCCCCAAATAAAATTAAGAAATATTCGGTAAAATGTTAATTTTCTAATAATTATCTTAAAAAAATTTTAAGAGTTATTATAATGTTTATTTAACAAGAAAAAAATACAACTCAAAATATAATCTCATAAATACTCAAATATATTCATATGTCTGCATCTTAAAGTAAAATAATAAATAAAGAAAATTCATTTTAAATAGTGTTTCAGAAAAGAATTTTAATTCCAAATAATGTATGAAACCCAATATGATGACTACCAAACGAAACATTTGATGTAAACACTGCTGTTCTTGAAATTTTTGAAAAACTACTTAATAGATCTATACAATTTGCTATTCCTTTCATCATTCTAATTCTCTTTAACATTTAAATAACCAGGCATTCCATTTTACAAAAAAAAAAAAAAAAAAAAATCAAACCGGTTTAATGTCACTTCCTCTTCAGCAGTGTTTGTATTTAAAGTTAAGTTATTTTTGTAATTGTCATTATCTCGAGTATTTTTAAAATTAGTGATTAGTATTGGAAAAAAATATATATGTATTGAAATAGTATATTTAAAAATATAAGAATCTATAAAAGAGAATTTTAGGTATAAACGTTTATTATATGTAGTTTATATGTAATTCAAATAAAAATTAATTAAATATTCATTATCTTGTTGGTTTTACTTTCTCGCCCATTCTATTTTATTAAATAATTATTACTCCGTATTTCGATTTAATAGAAAAACTTTCCAAAATACAATATATTTATACAAACATTTTGATCTACTAGTTGAAACAGAGTAACGTTTCAGTATGTAGCAAATATAACTTTATTGATAGATTACTTTAACCTTTCCACATATTTATTTAAATCTACTTTTTCAAAATTATCATTCAAATCTAACTGAAATTGTTTAAGAATTTCTTTTCTTAAATCATTCAGTTTTTTAGCGAAAGTTTTCTTATTTTTCTCCACTTCGGAATAAATTAATGTACTTATACGTTTTCTCATCAGTAAATCCAATTCATGGACCACTGATTGTGGGGTCTGCGTTTTGGGAACTGATAATTGTAAAGGCTGTACAGGCACATCAAGAAACTGTGTAACATAAGCTACAATATCCTGACTAATATTATTTCTATCAAAATTTCTAAGAATAAATGTATTCTCTTCCCATTTGTATACAGAGGCATTAGGAACTTCCAAACGTTTAGACATTTCAACTATAACATTATTGGGAACTTTACCTATTCCACTACGTAAACTATTACGTTCCAAAGCTAAATCTAGACTAGTTTCCAAATATATTTGACAAAAACCTATATTTTGTTCACGGGCTAATTGATATAATTTATAACGCATGCTGCGATAGTAATGATTATCATCACATAGTATAACAACATCTTTATGTTGATGATTCCTATAAAAATCGCTTAGAGTAATCAATTCCGTGGTTAAGTTATGGGAGTTTTTAAAATTGTTTATAATTGTTGATAAGGTCTGTAAAAGTTGTTCACGTTGTTCTTTGTATTGTGTGGGATTTTCCAGATTAAAGTTAACATAACAATCATAGCATAAATGTAGAACATTAAATGGCAATGATTCCATTTCCGTTAGATGATGACAAAGTGTGGTCTTACCAACAGCTGGTAGTCCTATCAAAGCTACTAAACAAATACGATTCATATTTGTGGATAAAACTGTAGACAAAAATAACAATTTAGTATTTAATTAAAAGTTACAACTAAGTAGATATATAAGAAATAACAATAAACTAGGCCGGTAAATTGGAAGTGGTGGCCGAGGATGAAAAAGCCGTTGATGCCGCTGTGGTATTTGGACTACTTTGCTCTTGTTGTTGCTGCTGCTGCTGTTGCTGTTCTAATTCTTGCATACGTTTAGTATTTATACTCGTTTGAACTTCAACATAAACTTTCATCATTGACTGATTAAATTGCGCAAATTTATTGACACACCGATTGACACATATATTCTGGAATAAATATTTGAAAGATTGTTTTTAATTTTATAATAATAACTTTTACTGAAGTTTACCTCATGCTCTGCTAAATCACGTTCATTAAAAGTGTCTATACAACGGGTAAAACATAATTCGGTCACTTTATTGTATAATGTTAGAAAATCTTTTAGCTATTTTATTAAAGAAATAATAAATAATATTAAAACTTTTTTACAACCATATATTTAATGATATTTACATTTCTTAAATTAGGATCCATTTGTTATATTTTTATAGAATATTATTGAATAAAATTTAAAAATATTAGAAACTTTAATGTTTTTTCTACTAATAAGACTAGATTTTTTGTAATAAAAAACAGCTGTACAAAAATATTGCCAGATTATATTAAAATTCTTACAGTGATTTATCCGCTACACTATTTTGTCGGGAAATGCATTAGGGGTTTCTAGAGTTCTATAGTTAAAACAAAAAGTCGAAGTTGTATTCCAATTGTATGGCATCTTGCAAACAGCTGTAATTATTTTTAAACTTATGGGCAGCTCTTACATTTATTATACTAGTGTTGTAAAATATGACTACTTTTAATTAATCCATATTAATATTTAGGTTACTTCTTATTAATTACTTTTGATTTAATAAATTATATACTATTTTTGTTGAAAAAAATGTTTGTTAAAGTTTGTTTTTTATATTTAAAGTATGTTTTAAGGTTTACGATAATAAAATCTTCTAAAATAAATTCCAATTGGCATTAGGTACCTAGAAAATATTTAGTATTAAGTAACCAAATACTCTTCACTTGCACAACTCTATTTGATATTTTACCTTTTCTAATTTCCCATTTAAACACACCTTGCAAACAGTTTTCACTTAACATTTTTCTACTTTAGACATTCAAGTGCAAATGTGAAAAACTTTTTAAAGCTGAAAGAAAAACTGTGCGGAAATTATAAATTATTATTAACGCAACGAAAATACTCTATTTTAAATATACACAACTAATAAGGCGATACAATAAATTAAAAAGCAATAATAAAACAAGTGAGTTTAAATAAACAATTGGGGAAAAATAATTAAGAAAAATGTATATTAATAAATGAAAAACAAATTGTGTGCTGGTGCAGCTGATATCAAGGACAACAATGATTGATACGCAATTTTTTTCTTAATAGAAAATATAAATTTAATGAGAAAATGTTTAAAAATAAACGTTTTAATGATTTATGGATTTATAACTTGAAGAATTGATTTACAGCGGAAGTATATATGTGTGTGTGTTTGTCTGTTTTTTGACATTTTGCTTTCTCTTTTGTACCCTTTTGATAGGCGAAATAGGTATTTGAAAAATTCATTATAAAATAGGATATGTTTAGAAGTCTTTAGAATTATGTATTAGATTTGGAAAAGCTCCAATATTTTTTGCTATGCCTAGTGATTGGTGGTTGGTCAATGGTGGCTAGAGCTGGTGTTTAGTTAAATGTTTGTCATTTGACTTTGTGCCACCCTGCTGCCCCTTGTTAATAAACTTTATAGACAAATTGTTAAATGTCATTTTCTGTTGCTGTTATTCCTTATTACGTTTTAGTTTTCCCTGCATCTGCATTTGGTTTAGTTGTGTTGTTTCATCATAATAGTGTAGAGACGCTGTCTATCACACAAATGATTAAATAATCATTATTACAAGGCAGTTTAATTGAATATTAATTTGTGTGGTTTTTATTTCGAAATATTCTCTATTAAAGCTCTATTTATTAACGTAATAACAATTGCAAATTAATTGTGATTTAAATTAAAATGCTTTCACTTTTCGGCCGTACACTACAGCGTAGTGTGGTGGTCATAAATTCTATTAAATTTCCTGTTGGCAATATCTTTAAATTTGTTCTAGACTCCTCTAAACCTCACCATCATTTGGTTAGAGCAGCTATTTTCGTTGACCCAATAATTTCAAAACAATATCGATATTTTTCGTCAGGTAAGTTTTCCATTATTACAATAATATAAATATGTATGTAGGTACTGTGTGTTTTTGTGTATGGTTTACTGGTTGGGCTGTTAATTGGCCCCAAAAGCTATTTATAGTTTTTGTTTGCTGTCTATTTATATTAGTTTTTGTTTATATTTTTTAATTGTTATTGCTCCACCCACTTAGTTTGTATAGTACCCTTACAGTGTTGCAAGTTTTTCTTTTAAAATTTAAATACATATTATGCATTTTCCTTCACACTTTTGCCGTGTAAGTCATTCGAATTGGAATTAAGTAGGTATATATGTACATATGTATATAGGTTGTCGAGGAAATGGAAATAATCTTGAGCTTGAAAACGTCTAGAAATTTAAGAACATAAGGTTATGTTGCAGAAAACTTCTCTAACCAAAAACTACCTCCAAAAATCGATTTTTCTAAAGCGATTAAGAAAATATAAATAGTTAAGTTCTACTATATGATGCCCGCCTATAATGTGTTGTTTAACAACATATATCTTTCTTTCGAAAGAAAAAGCTTTCGAAACACAATGTATTTAACATACAAATTTGAAATTTTTTTCTTTCGAATCGCGTTACAGAGTAACCCCTCAGAACTATCGGACGGCAGACATCGTTAAATCGGATTACTTTAGCTACTCATTATATATCCTTTTCATTACTTTTTGTGAAATAAGCTATGTCTTTATATGCCATTAATTACCAAGATAATTTAGTCTTTATTGGAATCAATTCGATTGCATTGAATGTTTTTGAATTACAAGCAAAATCTATTCTAATCTATTCTAAATTGAATAGAAGATTGAAAAATAGTTTAATTTAAAAAGAGATTTAAGGAAGTAGACATAAAATTATGTATTCTATTTTTTATTTTCCATTTGTTTAAACAATATCTGCTATATAAAGCATTTCCTCTGTATTCTATTATTAATTGATAAAATGCCAATTTGTATACATTAACTAAATAAAAAAAATAAATTAAATTAAAAACTGTTAACGAATTTGTTGTTATCTATAAATTGGGGTCACGCTTCGTTGCGTTTCGCATACCGTGTGAACGCAATTGATTATTGCTTTTTATTTCTAACTTTTAGTTAAGTTTTTTAATTATTTTTGGAAAATTTCAAAAGGCAATTGACTCTTGCTGAAATTGAAAAAGAAGATTTATATCAATTGTTTTTTGTTTTAGTTTTGCAAATGTATAAAGTAAATCAAATGAAAACTTTTTGATTTATTATTGAAAAAGGCACAATGAAGTAATTTTTCTTACAGTGTACAAAAACATGCCGTTTGTTCATGCATACATAGCCGACGGCGTACAATCGTACAGAAATAGTTCATATTTATTTAGTTTTATTTTTTTCAAAACTCATTTCGGTGTTATAATTTTTTTTCTTTACGCTATTTAGGCTTATCTTGGCGTCTACATTTCAGATTAAATACATAAATTAATATAATCTTATGAAGGTGGCCATGAAGTAGCAAATTTAATATAACAATACATACTTTATTTAATATTTTTGTTTTGATTATTTTATTATTATTTTTATTGTGTTTTTTGCAATGTACGAACGTTTGTAATTTAATAGTTTATTTTTACTTTAAAACTGTTTACGTTTTTATTTCTATATATTTAATCTCTGTTCGGTTTGAAATGTTTAACAATTGTTTTTGATTTTGTGGTGTTAAAATTGTTGTTTTTATTTTCTAGATTCTCCCAAAAATATGGAAAATAAAACAGAAAAAATGTCTGTTGACAAGGAGGAACTTAGAAAACGTTTAACACCTTTACAATATCAAGTTACACAAGAAGCTGCTACCGAAAGACCTTTTACAGGTGAGTTTTTTTTATAATTTTTTAAAAAAAGTGTTCAAATTATTAAAATTTTTAAAATTAAAAAAAATTTTAAATTAAATTTTTAAAAGAAAATTTTAATTATTAGTGAAAATTTTTGTTGAAAAATTAAACCTGTACTTTTGATGAAAAATTAAATAATTAGTGAATTTTACAACTCAATCTGATTTTATATTAATATTTCCCCTTTTTCCTTTCAAGGCTGTTACAATAAACACTATGAAAAGGGCGTTTATCAATGTATAGTTTGTCACCAGGATCTATTTAGTTCGGATACAAAATATGATTCTGGTTGTGGTTGGCCTGCTTTCAATGATGTCTTAGATAAAGGCAAAGTTACTTTACATCGTGATGCCAGTATACCAGGTATGTAATGGGGCACACAAATCCCCTAACACCCGAAAGAAATGTTTGTATATACTATACCTGTAGTATTCTTGAATTATTTTTATTATTTTTCTAAAAAAGGTTTGAAAATTTTAGTTTTATGTTTTTTTTTTGGCTTTTTTCTCAAATTAAAATCTATTCAATTTTGTTTTGCCATTAAACTTTTCATTTCAATTTATTTTTGATATCTTTAAGTAAAAAAAGAAAAAATAATAATTTGCAAAATGTTTTACTAGTTTTTAAAGTTTTTATTTTGTTTTATTTTCTATTACAATTTATGTAGTCATATTCTTTATTCTGCTTTATATTTATTGTTTTGTTTTAATGTTTAAAATTAAAAAACAGTTAAAAAAACTACAAATTTTAACAGTTTAAACTATATAAATATGTTAAATGTTTTTGTTTTTGTTAATGTTTCAAGAGTCTGTTGTGCCTTGTTGTTAAATAGTGAATGTTAATATTACTGTTCCTGTTTGTTTTCATTCTAAGTCATAAAACCAAAAAGACTCCTTCTACCTACTAGTGTAAATTAGACTGTTGTGTTACTAACTTTTAATTGTTAGAAAAGATTTTTGATATAAAACTTACTACAAATCTAATACTGAACATTTTTTCTTCTTTTACTTTTCAAATTTTCATAAAAAATTCTTATTTTTTTGGTTTTTGTTTCCAAAAAAAAAAAAATGTTTTTTTTTATTTTTTTTTTTTGGTTTGTTAAAATTTTTGAGTTTTTTTAATTTAATTTTGGAAAAAATATACAATTTTCTGTTTACGCTGTATAATTATATAAAATAGTAGTCATTTCAAAAATGCTAGGCATGGTACGCACCGAAGTGCGTTGTTCCAAATGCAGTGCTCATATGGGTCATGTATTTGATGATGGTCCGCCACCGAAATATCTACGTTATTGCATCAATTCTGCCTCAATTGACTTTGTACCGCTAACGCAACAAAATCCACAAATGCCAACAAAGTCAACAATCAACCAACAGGCTGGATCGAATACACAAACAAAACCAAACGCCTCCTCCGCCTCTGCCTCCTCCACTAGTACAATTCAACAAAATAAAAAATAAGTGAAAATACAATTTTCAATTTCAATATTAAAATGTATAATAATTATTATTATTATTATTACTATTATAATAACAACTATTATTGTAGTTTGAAGAAAAGAGATATTTTGAAAATAATTAAACAAATTATGCAATAAAATTTGCCATTTCAAAAAGCTTATTTCTTTAATATGCATTTTCAAAAACATTTTTGGTTTTTGTGTCTCATCAATTGTGTCTTAGGAATAATTCATATTCACATTCATTACCATTTTCATTTAATACAAAACGCTTTAATTTGGTGGTGTCATGCTCAGCATTCAATTGCGTTTCATTAATAAATATTTGTGTGTTTTATTTTGTTTTTAAAATTGTATAGTAATTAGATACATATCAAAGAATATAGACGTTTTGTTTTCTCTTTAAATTCATGTTGTTTGTTAAGTGTTTTTTCTTTAAGTTTAATTTGCATTTTAAAATTTTGCTTAAGCTCGATTTTTTTTGTTTGATTATAGAATTTACTGCAGTAACAAGATAAGCCACAAGAAATTAATTTTAATTGTTATTTTTGGACATTTAGGTAATAATATTTCATATATCTAATTTGTAAATTTAAAATTTTGTTCTAAATTTTGAGGTTGTTTTTCTTTCTTTTATTATTTTATGGCTTATTGAGTTATTGCAGTAAATACTTAATTATTTATGTTGTTTTTAATGAAATTTTTAATTAATATTTTAAGATTTTAAAGAAATTTTAATTCATTTTAACAATCGCTTGTTGTTAACAGATAGTTGGTTAAAGCAAAGATAATTAAAATTAATCACTAAAAAAGTTTGTAAATTTTGATCTATTTCTTTAAACATTGTAGCGGTTCCCAAAACTGTATTCCATTCTGCTATCTGTATAACAAAAAAAAAAAAAAAAAAAAAATCCATACAATTTGGAAAAATTTCTTTCCCAAGGTGGAAATCGAACTCGAGCCTTAAATAAATTATTAATTTAATACTAAAACATATAGTTTGACTAAAATTAAGAAAGTTATTATAAAAGAAGGCTTAGTTGTACCAGAAAAATGTTATATATTTGTAGCCATTTCTTTAAAATCTTAAAATAATTCTTAATAATCTTGTTACGGTTAATTTTTTTTTTAATTTTTAACATTTTCCCTAAAATCTTAAAAAAAAACTATTAACAAATTTCCCTTTTAAATAAATTACTACAAAAACTTAAACATATAAATATAAATATAATTTTAGTTATTTAGTAAATTAGTATATAAAACCAAGAAATGATAAATGACAATATAAATAATGAATTATTCTTTTTTTTTTTGTATATTTTCTATTTCTTTTTTCTTGCTTTTTATATAAATGTGCCTGTTTTTTGGGGGTTTAACACAAAAACAACATTAAAATAAATCTAAAAAAAAAACAAAAATTAAACATACATAAACAACATCTATCTGCAACAATTACAAATTAAACCAAATAATTTCGATGAACAAAACCTAAAACGTCATCATTGCATTTTTTCATATATTTTCTACTCGGCTTTGAAAAAACAAACTAATTTTTTAAATAAATGGCTTTAAAAAAATGCTTAAATTAAAAACAAAAAACCTATGTACTTGTAAAATAATAATATTTCAATTTATTATTAAAAATTAAATATATACAAATTGTTCATTACTTTAAATAATGTTTTAAAAACATCATTATTATCTTACGCCTTATAACAAATATTCATTTCATTAAAAATATTTCTCATTTTTAATCATTAATTTTTCATACACTTTTGGCTGCTTTTTTAATCTACTTTCATAATGTGTTTATCACTTCTTCTTCATGCTGTTCTGCAATTTGCTGAATTTTCTTAATTCATTATTTAATTTTCTAATTTTCATTTTGTGTTTAAATGTTTAATGTCTCTCATGTTCATCTCATGTACTTTTCTCTTAACATTTTGTTTTTGTCTTTCCTTTTTCTCTACTATTTTTTATGTCCACTTCTCTTCTTTCCTGCTTAACTTTTTTATTTTTATTATTATTTAATTCTTTTAATCATTTTGCAATTTGTACTTTTTCTTTTAATAATTTAAACAAAACTATTTAATTAAAAACAAATTAACATTAATAATAATTTTATAACAAAACAATAACTTTGTTAAAATATCATGCCTAAAAAAAAACAACAAAACACTTGTGCAAAACAATTTTGTCTAAAAACAAAATTAATTTAAATTTTAAAACTCTATCGCAAAACCTAAAATCCAACAAATAAAATAAAAAAAATGCAAATGCAAAAATTATTAACTAAAGGGGGTAATATTTTACTACTAATTAAACATCCAGAACGCATACGCACAGAGGTACGCTGCGCCAGATGTAATGCCCATATGGGTCACGTATTCGAAGATGGTCCCAAACCCACACGCAAACGTTATTGCATTAATTCGGCTGCCATTGAATTCATCTCAGCGGAGCAGTTAAATAAGGGAGTCGTCACAACGGCCAATGTTAATACCGCCACCCCCATTGCTCAACAATAACAGAGGGCTTAATTCTTGTTGTTTTTATAATTATTTTTTTTAATAAATCTTATACAAAAAAACCTATAAAAATATGTAATACTCAAATATGTTGTGTCCGGCATATTTGTGACCCTGAGGCCAATTATATTTATATAAAATCCTTTTTTATTTCTTTGTTTATTTTGTAATCTGTTTAAAAACTACTACCCTAGATAAAATATGCTTGAAAATGTCAATTTATATTCTTAGCAATAACAATAAAAAGTAAATTTATTATTTAAAATATTCTCAATTGTTATACTAAAAGTAAATTTGTGTAATAATAATATTTTTTTTTTCGAATTTGTGTTTTTAATTGTTCTTATTAATAATAATTTCAGTGTAAATAGCAAATAATAATAAAATAAAGAAAAAAATGGAAAGGAAAATAATGAAAATGTAACTGTAACGTTTGTTATTATTGTCTGTCATCTACACTTTCTTTAACTGTTTCTTAATTTGTTTAAAAAGTTCTTATTTAAAAAATTTCCAAAATGTATGTTTATATATTTAATATCCAAATAAACTTGTATTTTTATAAATTTAAACTTTTATCTATATATAAAATGTGTTTTATTTCTAATTCTCAGGAACACTTAAGTTCATAATAAAGAAAGGAATACGCATTAACTTTTCTTTAACTTTTCTTTAGCTTTAATGTTAAAAAAACGTTAAAACCATTTCGAAAACCCTGTCATTTTCGAAATTACATTCTTATTCAGTGCTTCAAATCACACAAAATTAATTTAAAATGCTAAATACTACAATTTAATTTAATAACACACCCTGTCATACAATTTCCGTTTTAAAATACGTACTGCCAAACAATCTACTGCCACACAGTGGTATAGGAAAAAAAAAAGAGGGAAATAATTCGGTAACTTCTAAACGGTTAATCCGATTTTAATGAAATTTGGTATGCACATAGAGGAGGTGTTGTCGAGTTTAGGTTTTGAATTTGGACCTTATATTTTGTCTATTTTTCAAAACTGTATATAATTTTTGAAAATTAAAAAATTCGCGGAATACTTTTTTTAAAAAAAATTAAAAAATGTTTTTTATTCAGTTTTTGCGAAGATACAAATTTTTCAAATTGCAATAAAAATTTTATTTATGAATATTTTTTGATGAAATTTTACAGTTAGGTAGATTTTTTTACTCAAAATCCAAAATTAAATAAAAATTTCGAATTTTCTTATTAGAAATCCCGGAATTCCCAAAAAAGTTTTAAAAAATCCCAAAAATGGGATTTTTTGGTTTTTTGCCTATTATATCCATACCAGGGGCGGGGTTATCGAAACCCGTTACAAAATGATTAAGAACATATTGGGTCATATAAAACAGGTCACTATAATTTGATATCGACTATGCGATTTGAGAATTTTTGCTCAAAATTTAATTTTCCATAAAAAATAGGGTTTTTTTGGATGGACCTGGTCCCCTCGGTATCAAAAATTTTTAGGTTTTGTTTCATTTATCGTATTTTATGTAAAGTCAGCATTCCAAAAAGTATAAATTCTATATACATCTTCTTAGAAACTTTTTGGATAACTTAAAAAGAAAAAGATACTTTTTTCCCAAAAAAATTACAAAAAATCGCCTTTTTTTAATTTTTTAAATTAAAATGCCTATAACTTTGGACTCAGTCATGATTTTTACATAATTCTTTCACTGCTTGATATATAAACTTGTTGTTAAGCGAATAAAACAAAATGGCGAAAATCGGGAATATTTGGACCTGCTATTATCAAAAAAAACTAAAGTAAGGACGGTAAAAATTTTAAAATTTTAATTTTCAAATGCGAATATCTCCTAAACTATAAGAGATAATTTACTGCTATGACAACATTTTTTATAGTGCTCGATGAGGAGATTCTATATACGAAATTTGCACACCAAATTTCATTAAAATCGGATTAACCGTTTAGAAGTTACCGAATTATTTCCCTCTTTTTTTTTTCCTATACCACTGTGTGCCACAAAACAAAGAATAAATCTCTTCAAAATATTTCCAAATATGTACAATCAAAATATTCTTATCCTTTACCTAAACGATAGGGTGATCGATTATTCGACATTTTCCAAAAACCGGTTTTCGAATAGTTCGAATAGTTGACATTTAAAAAAAACCGGTTTATATTTTTCAAATTCAGAAAAAACCGGTTAACCGGTTTTTCATTATAAATAAAAAAACATATTTTAATTTGAAAAACTTAATGTTTATGTTTAAATTTGATTAATAAAACATGGCCCGAAATGATTTTTAACAGTTTAAAAGATTATAACTTTAGATCTAGTCGTCTGATTTACATTAGGGGCTTTTTTTAAACACTGGATTTATTTTGGATTTATTTTATTTCAAGAAAAAAACTATCTTTGGAAGCTGGAATTTAGTTTCGGACATCATTATCTGAAAATACACTCTGTAAGCTAATATAAGGTCAAAGAAAAATTAATTTTAGTGCAAACATGGCGGTTCTGCAGCTAAAAAAAGTAAATCTAATTTGGATTTCTTAAATCCAAAAAAATAGTTAGATTTAGCTAATTTCAATATGGCAATGCTTTGTATTCATAGAACAAAACCAAAATAATTTTAAAATAAACTAATTTGTTTTATTTTGCTATTCACCAATAGATGGCAAATATTTTTTAAAATGTGTAAAAATAGGAAAATAAACAAAATTCCTGTAACTAAAATATTGCACACATGATATTTTAGTGCAAATACCAATTTTTGCAAAAAATTGTTACAAATTTTATGGAAAATTTATGATTTTAATATTAAGTTTTGAAATAACTCCATCTGTTGGTCGCTGCTGACATTATGATTTGAAATTTGTTTAGTCTCGATTTAAACCTTTTGCCTTATCCACCTGGCGTACAGTACCAGAACTAAAATTTAGATTTAATAAATCCAATTGTTTAAAAAATGCTGCTATTATTTCTTTAATATAAAAAAATTAGGAAAAAAGTGGGACACTTCTGTTAAACATAAGCTAATCATAGCTTATTTTAAAAGCCCTGTTTAGGAAATTTGCATAGGCATTCCAAACTTCCATAAAATTTCAGCCGTAAATTAATTATTGTAATTGGAATATAATCTTAAGATTGATAAAATTTTATCAAATAGTTATCAATTTTACAAATAAATTTTTTTTAATTAATTAGGAAAATCAAAAAAGTTTAACTAAAGGAGCTTTAGAAAAATATACGCTAGCTCCTCGACTCGAATATTTTTAAAATTTAGGCGGGCTGTATTATTATTTACTTAAAAATTTCATTTAAATAATCTTTGAATACAAAGCAAATAAAAGTATTCGAAACCGGTTTTTAAAAAGTGAAAAAACCGGGTTATTCGATATTCGAAAAATCAACATTAAGAAAAAACCGACACTGGTAAAGCAGAAAAAACCGGTTTTAAAACCGGTTGAAAAATCGAGTCGATCACCCTACTAAACGATAATTATTCAAAAATTATAAAATTTTAACGGTTTTACTTCTAACTACAACCCTGCTCTACAACATAAACTAAAATACAACACTTCACAAAACATACTACTTTATGCAAGCATTCAAGTTTTTTGCGCTCATATTGACGTTAGTTAAAACTCTATTGACGGCCGGTTCTTGTAATATTTTCGTATGTGCAATTAAATTAAGAAAAATCGTTATAAAAAGTGTTTGTGAAAAGAAAAAAGCGTGTTAATAGCTTAATAAGTCTTCATATTATAAAAATATTATAAAGTTTGGCTGCATTGCTCCTGATTTCATAGAAAATGACTGCATTGAAAGTTGTGTCCAAAAATTGTTCTACAGCCTAGCCTGTTTCTATTTTGGTTGTGGGTTATGTGTTCCTACAATCTTATTTT